AAGACTGCCAAAGATAGACAGATGCCCAATAAACCCTTAAAATGACTGTAAACTTCTCCTATGTAACAGGTCCCAGTGGTGAAATGATCTAACGCTTTTCATCAGCAATGCTAGGGTTGATCCACAGGTGTACCATGTACTAATTAGTAGCACCGGGCACATTACTTTATCTGCCAGTCTCCCTTTTACACAATGCAGAAAATCTTCTACAGTGACTGATTTTTCAGCTGTATGCAGGAAAATAAATGCCTAAATGACAAGAACAAAGCATGGCTGAGACCTGATACTCAGCAATGAAGGCTGACTTTTCAAATAGTTAATTCAGAAATCGAGGAATGTGATATTGCCTTTTCTGAGACATATCATGGAGCATCATTAAAGGTAACTCCAGAGAACTTATGATGAATAAATTAGCTTGTGTCAACTTGCCAAATAATGTATATTTAAAAAGTAATATTGAAAAATATTATTAGATATTTCCCTGTACAACAAAATTCAGTATTCAAAATTGCCATAGTATTCCCTAAACTATGTTTCTGTATCAAAAGTATTTTATATTTAGAATGTTTTCTGTTTTCAAAATACTATTTGTTGATAACTTCAATATCTATAAAGTGCAATGATAAAGTATGGATTTTTCTAGCTAAAACAGATCAATTTTAATCTGACTAAGCCATCTGTTCTGCATAGAGTAGTGAAGTTTACACAAAGGGTCTGTGAGATTCTCAGAGACAGTTTGAGTTGTATGTGAAGTAGTTATGACCTGTTCCTTAAAAGCCATGATTTTTGTCTTCTTTTGAGATAGTGAGAATCTTCAAAATCTGTTTTGGTGCGAACCATAACTCTTTACCTAGGACTATAGACACCCACTTGGTAAAGAAAAGTAGAACGTTTGCCTGATTTGTCTTTCTTTCTTTCACATTTTTAGATTTTATTTTAAAATGTAAATAAAAACCATGACATAGAATTTCAAAACAAAATAATAGTAGATTAACAGGTTACTATATTACATATTGTTATCTTCAAGGTAGTTGTTCTGATAACAAGATGTAAAAAAGTGATCAAACAATCAAATAATGAAAACATAAATCATTCTTTTTGATGAACAAACAGAGATTAGTAGCAGGCTTTCTTTTTGTATCTGTTTGTAATGTAAATCTGGGGTCAAGTCTCTTCTCAGCTCTGCATGGTGGCGTGCTGATCATTAGTGAGTATCTGCCTAGGTTCAGGCCAGACAGGGTTGAGAGCTCTGAATTTATGGGATCTCATCCCTCTTCAGGACTGGGGACACCAAGCTAAGTGGTTTACAGGAATATCAGCTACACCCACAAGTCTCTAGCCATTGTCTCAAACTTGTGATCCAGAGGATTCCAGGAAATCAGAGCCCCCATAGGAAACCAACACAGGCAGAGACTCTTTCCCTGGGGAAGGAACCAACCCTCAAGCATAAAGGCTCCACAACTGAGAGCCAATCAACTGACCCCAGCTCACCACCCAACACCTAAAACTTGGCTTCTTGCCTGCATCGAGGATCTTTCTCAACCCTGTGGCAGAGTGTGCCCCTTCCAGCTAGCTACCTGAGCCCTTTCTTGTCTTCCCTCTAATTTTCTAATCAAAGCCTTTTTCCTATAAATCTGTGCTGTAGTTTTATTTTTGATTTTTACTAAAGGCAAGGATTCACGACAGCTAGTGACAAAAGTCTTCAGTTTCCTTTTTCAGTGATATTGTCAATTTGCCAAACTGCTGACTGAAGTGTTTCTGTTTAATTTATGAACATGACCTCATGGCATAGATTCCAAGAATAGAATCCAAATGAGGCTGCAGTACATGGAAATTTTTATTTATTCCACTTTAACAACAATTGATAAATACTCAACACAATAGTCAAAATAATTTTAAAGCGTTTTCTCCTGTACTCCAGTCTTACTTTAACATTTGCATGATGGACTAGGAGATAAAAATTTTTCTGATTCTATTATTGTTTCATTTAAATTACATAAAGCTTTAGATAAATATTCAAAAGTCATTTGCTGGCCAAATGAATGATAACTACTGTCTACACAACAGGTACCTTTAGATGTAATTTACATCAGAAACAAACTGAGGTAATACCATGAGGTACCAATCATGCATATAAATTTGATAAGTTACATAAACATTCTTCATTTTATTGCTTAACTGTCTTTTCCTTAACAGTGATTTTATAATATTTAGACTTGTTATAAATACTTGAAACATATATTAATTATTAATGTTTTATTTTCTTTTATGAAGGTGGTCAGATATTTTATTTATGATAGTCAAACTCTCAACACTGTGCAAAATTAGTGTAACCTAGTTATTTCTGAAGTTGTTCCAAATTAAAAGTTAATTTCATTCAAAAGCTCAGTACACAACACTATTTTTAAAATAGCAAGACAAAGAAGTGATGTTAAATCAGAATAGATTTGATAGTGGATTATATAATTCTTCAGGTAATACCATATATTCCTTGGCTCCGTATCTCCTAATGGCAGTTTAAAAAGAAGTTCCAAACTGAGAACAATTACAATTCATGGGCAGTGGTTGAGAATTAGAATGTATTAAACTGGAATGTGACGTTCCTGAACTTTCGTCATGAGTTACTCGTTGGCAGAAGACAGTGAGTAGATGATGTTCTTATTTATGAGAGTAATAAATATGGCCTAGCAACAAAAGAACTTCCTGAAAGTGAAGATCAGACATATTGAAATTATCTTCTTTCTATTGTACTGCAAAACAGCCTAAGTATTTTTTTTAACCAGTTTATGGGTTTAGACATAATTCAGCCATAAAAGCAGGAGATGAGGTAATCTATTAATATTCCACACAATATTACTGTGCATTCATTCTTCAATTGATTTTTTTTCCATTTTTGCTTTACATACTATTTCATTCTGGGTAGCTTGGCTTCTTCTTTTAAATCAATGTTGAACTGAGTATAAAAACTAGCATTTTCTTCTTTCCTTTCATTTCCCCTAGCTAAGTACTTCCTGTGAAATAACTTGGAAACTACTTTCTCTGAGATATATAACTTTAAGATAATTGAAGTCTTGACCTTAATTATTTTTTAGAGAGAGGAAAGGAGAGGAGGGGATTGATTATAAGGCCCAGAGTGGTAGTTTCATTAAAAATATTTCCTTTGTTATTACTATATTCAAAAGGTTGAGCTCTTATTCATTTTATCAAAACTTATTAACCTTACCATCTATTGCCACAAACATCTCATCTATTAATCAAATGCATTTTCTAAAACATGAACTATTTCAAAACAAACTACTGTTTAAAGGAATTCTGAAAGAAGTGCTTATACTTTACATACAACACATTTATTTAAAATTTTACTGGAAATGACCATACATCATATGTCTTGGAGAAACAGTATGGTGAAACATCAAAATAACCTTGGTTACTGACATTTTAAATGCTTTTCAAAGATTAGTCTATGATACATTACTAAAGTAATTTTCTAGTATTTATAGAGATCATTAACATATAACAAGTATTAGGTCAAGTTTATTCACTTTTATAGGCTTTAGAACTCCAAAATATGTGGCTTCATATTCAAGTAAATATTTTATTTCTAAAGTTTATATACAGCTTCCACAGATGCCTGCCTGGTTGTCAACTTGTGTTCTTAAATCAAATCAATCACTGAAGCTTTTTCTCTCACTCAAGTTGGGAAGCTTATAAGGAAAATTAAGTATTCTCTAAATTACTATAAATTCATTATGAATAAAGATAAAAATTTGAACTCCATGTGCTGTTTTTATGCCTAGTTATTCATTGCTTTTTGTAAACTTTTACCTACATATTATGAATCACTTTGTATTTTTTTTTTTAAATCGAACTCATGACTATGCGTTTGCAAGGCAGGTGCTTAATGCCACTGAGCTAAATCCCCAGCCCCATCAATTTGTATTTTAATATTTTACTTTATATTACATTAATACTTTCAATAATACTGTAGTTTGTAATATTTTATTTAACATAATGATATTTCATGAAATTTAGCAACTACATGAGTGTGACAAATATAAAGAGAAAATTGAAAACACCTCACATCACATTGCAATGTCATTTTAATCAATCAATTTTAGAGAAACAATAAAGTTCCCTCTTAGTCCTCTTTAGCTACCTTAGTATTAACTATTTATGAGATATACTGTAACTCTCAAAAACTTAATAATTATAAAATATTATTAACTAAGTTATTACTTTTATTCCAGTTGAAACAGTACCTTTTCCCATTAGTCTATTGGGTTAGTGATTATCAATTATAGCATGAAGGTAATATAATGGAAAAAATGGGAAAAGGAAGAATGATTCATTCTTAAGTTCATTATTCTGGAAATTCTGCTATTTTATATATTTTCCCCTTTTTTAAAGCTAAAATATTTTTTCATAATGAAAAATTTTAAGTTTCTTATATTTGTATGCTGGTCTACTTTTAATCAACTGATAAAGTAAAAATACATAATACATTCTGATCAAGCATTTTCCAGACATCATCATACTGATCTAGTTACAATATCACTCTATCACATACATCATAGGATAAACTAATAATACAATTGTAAAATTGCCTGAACTTTTTAAAATAAAGAAAAAACAAGGGTACACTGTATTATATTATTTTCACATGAACATAAAAATTATTTCCTTAAGATATGTATTTATTCTGTGCAAAGATTTAGGCCCTAGGGGTAAGTAAAATCACCAAAGTACTGAGGAGCACAACAATGAAAATAGGTTTGCTTGTTACTAAGTCATGAGGATGTAATTTTTATAAGTCCTGTAAAAGTATTGACTAGGTTTTTTTTTTCTTTCTATATTTCTTTGTTATATGTATTGAAATAGAAGACATTGCTTTTCCTGAGAGTCTTTTTAAAGGAAAGATTTTATCATTATATATAATGTTATAAATTTTAAATATTTAATATTTTTTCCTCTCTCTCTCTTTCTCTTTGTCTTTTCTGCAGAACTGCAGAGCAGCTCTTGTGGAAACCCTGGAGTGCCACCCAAAGGTATATTATATGGTACCAGATTTGATGTTGGGGACAAGATTCGCTACAGCTGTGTAACTGGCTATATCCTCGATGGTCACCCTCAACTCACCTGCATAGCCAACTCAGTTCATACCGCCTCGTGGGACTTTCCTGTTCCCATCTGTAGAGGTAAAATCAAAACAAAACAAAGTGTATTTTTATAGATTGAAAATTTGCTTGATATAATGAAAGTATATTACAAGAATTGCAATTAGTATTATATTCAAAAGACAATTGCTGTTTGCTCCTTCTATAGAATTTGAAAAAAATATATATACATATATATATATATATATCAACCATGCTGAATGTCAAGTATAAAATAATGGTAAGTTTTTGTCATACATTGGCAAGAGCCTGAAGTACATCTCAACATTTGAACATATATTTATATATACATAATATATGCATATATAAATCCATATTTTAGAAATCCACATGGAATTCCTAATGTTTAGAAATTTACTTAGGCTATCGGAGTAATTATATTGCTTTCTTGAAGAAACATTGACTACATCTCTGATTATTTTAAATATTTATAATAGAGAAATTAGTATAAGAATTTATGACATCGATCATACTGAATAGCTATTTTAAAGAGTCCAGAAAGATTGTGTTATGGAGAAAATACAATAAGCAACTAACCAGGACAAAGATTTAAATTACAAAGCCTTGAAAACAGAACAGATTCAACCTTCACTAAATATTAAGACTACTCGTGCCCACAGAAATTCTGACCAAATTTGTTTCTTTCCTAAATGTGTTCCATTTCACTTATTTTTTATACCTAAGTTTCTATAGCACCTCTATAAGTGTAAATAGTGAATCTAACTGCACATCTAAATTATTATCTTCCTCCCAACATGTGACTATACGTGTATGTGGAAGTTACTTGGGGAATACAGCTAAAGTGATATTTCTTGTTTTTCAATTAACGTGTTAATTACCTCAGACAAATAATCAGCAATTTCAGTCTCATTTTATCTCTTTTAGTCAAGAAAGCAAAAATCATAAAGTTATTAGTTCCATTCCTCACAAAGAGTAAATAAGACAATCTCTGCCACTTAGTGAAAATCCTATTATGTATTTTTATATATTTGTTGTTGGATAGTTTTTTGTTATTGTTGTTGGTGTTTCCATTACCATTGATAGTATTACTGGTACAGTAACTGCTGTTGTTGTTGTAATTTTTGTTACTACTATTATTAGCTATCATTTAGTTGAACATTAAACATATGCTAAGAAATTTAGATGCATTATTCCCTTTAAATTTCGCAAGTACCGAAGTCTAGATGTTTAAAAATACTTATTCAAGATTACTCAGCTAATAAGCATCAGAAAATATGGAAGTCTTGAGATTTCATTTTATTTGCAAGCTGACAAATTTCTCTGCCAATTTTACAAGTGGTGATAAAAGACTCAAGGTTTTTGGGGGCAGAAATCAATAATAGTTTATTACTCGTAGCAGTAACAGAGCCAGAGTATCAGGATTCATGCCAGAATTCCAAGCCTCAATTTTTACAAAATAATATAAAATATGAGATAATGTAGGCATACTCTGAAATATAAGAGACAGAAGCTGAGTTTAGAAACCTGAATCTTTTATAGTGAGTAGCAAGCATTCCTATTTTCTTTTAAGTCTTTTTGAGAAAGGCTCCCACTATATGGTTCAGGCTTGCCTTGGGCTCACTTTGTAGCCCAGGCTGGTCTTGAATTTGCAAGGATCTGCTGCCTCAGCCTCCTGAGTGCTGGGATTACCAGTGTGCCACCACAACCCGCTCTCGTTCCTATTCGTTGATAGAGGAAAATGTCTCTAACTTCCAAAACTATAAGCAAACTTATTCTTCACTGGTGGAAGATACTATTTATGATTTTCTATGCTATTTCCTATAGAAATATCACTGAAAAGAAAGGCTGACAAGAAGAACAAAACGGTTAGAATGTAGACTCACAAGCTATGCCTAAACATGAGAGTGCCACAGATGAATATCTCTAAAGAGTAAACGGGGTGTGGTGGGGAGGTCAGGTTTCAGTCTCTCTAGTTGAACCTTGTTAAGGCCTTTGACACTGCAAGAAAGTAATTTGCATTTTGCTCTAAAAGTACCTTTTTATAATGATAGGAAATGGAATGTTGTATGCAAATCAGTCAAAACACACAAGCCTGATCAAAAACTATGGCAATTGTTGAAATTTAATAACATTATTACATTAATAGACACAATGCCATGAGATCCCTCAAAATAGTCTTGTTCACTTTGAATATACTGTTTCCTTCATTCTTTCCACTCACTGAAGCAGTTTGAAAAGTCTTCTGTGATTCTACAAGATGTGATTAAAATATGCAGTGAATGTTGGGGCCAAATGCCAGCCAATGGAAAGGAAGGCTCATAAAAATAGTATAACGTGTCTCCATCTGCCTTATTCAGCAACTGGAATGGTGTGGCTTCTGACTCTCAGGCCAAAGTTATTCGAGACCCTTTCCATGTTGGCAGTTATTGCAGTGAAACCCCAATCTCCTACTTGGAGTTACCATGTGTGGTTTGAAGAAACAGCAAGAGACAAAAGAGGGGTACAGGCAGGGTCTGGGCTGGCCAGGTGTTCTCAGGGGAAAGAGGGCCACAGGGTACCCAGATCCTTGGGATTTACTCAGCACACCTGAGTGGAGGACAACAGGTGAAGGGCTGTGGGTGTTTCCAGGAATTGTTATGGTGACTATAGTGGGCTAGTTAGGAGGACAAAGCATTCTTTCAAGGACCATGACAAGGATGAGACAGGGCTGGGGGCAATCAAAAAACCGTAGTTCCCCCAGATGCCTGACTGTCTCCAACAGGTCTTTTCTTGTCTCATAAGCTCCATGCAGTCATTACAGAGCTTCCAGCAATGACCAAAAAAAGCTGGGAGTTTCTGCATTTTTATCCGGCTCAAGGACAGGACATAAACAAGCATGTACATTCCATGGACTCAGTTTATAATTTATGGTCCCTGACAGACAATGATCACGAAGGGTGAACCTTGTGAAACTAGTTAGGATATCCAGTTGCGCTCACAGTGTGATTAAAGACACAAAAGATGATTTCTAGAACTGCTTCAGAAAGTGACAAGAAGATGGTACATTTGGGCTTGAAGTGAGGGAGAGTATTTTGATGGGTAGGTGGTAATACTGTAATAACTTGTAAAAATTAAGTATTTATGGTATGCTTTTCAGTCATGCAATGAGTTGTCATTGAAAAAAAACTTAAAACCTAACTGTAGAAGATTTTTAAAAACACTTTAAGGAAACCCAGGATATAGCCCAGCAGTGCAGCACCTGCCTGGCAAGCGCAGGGTCCTGAGTTTGATTTCTGGTAGCCACTACCCCCAAAAATACTTAAGGGACTTAAAATACAATAAAAAAGGGAACTATTTAAATAGGTTTCAATAAAGTCACATTGCCATATTACATGAAAAACTAATCTTTGTTATGGGGCTTCTTCTCCATCTCAATTTAGGTAATAGTCTTTAGAGTTAAAAAGACCTTATCTACTGATTCTGCCACTTACTGAAAAGTGCCTTAGGGAAAACGGAATTATTTTGGAAACTACTTCTTTATCTATAATAGAGTGAAGAGATGGGCAGAAATACCAAAAATACAACACTGTTTAGGTTTAATGTATGGCACAAATAGGTACATAGTAAGTAATTTACATCAGTTCTATCATTCCATTTTCTTACATACCTTTTACTGTATCCTTCAATCCACAAAAATGTATGTAGTCAGCAAAGAGTAACTTAAATATAATATGAAGTATTCCATGTCATCATTTTTTCATGCCTATATCTTATAATCTGAAGAACTACTTTGAAGGTAATAATATACACTATATTAACCAGTGTTAATCACCTATTATTTTGTTTTGAAATTCTAAATCATCATATTTATTCTTTTCTCATTTCAAGTCTAACTTTAAGGCCAATGCTTCTACTGTCTCATCACAGTTGCTTTTTCATTTCAGGGTTATATATTGCTGCTAAGCTTGAACTGTGCTTTCCTTCTCTTTCATAAGATCCTACAGTCTTATTTTCTCCAGCAGTTACTCTAACCTGTGTGGCATTTCATCTTTCAAAAACGTGGCACTGTCTGTTTGCAAACACTGCCTGCTTATATTCAGTCTGCTGAGCTTGACTTTCTCCTCAGTAACAATGCTAGGAATGTATTTACTCATTCAGATGTAGAAGTCCTACCTTGTAAAAAGTAGTATTTCACTCACTGAGGATCAAAAGAGTAATTAAGAAACAATTCCTGTCTTTGAGAACTCATGGTCCAGTGGGGCAGATTGTAATGTAATCACATAATTGCAGTAATGTGTGATAATTGCCTTCATGGGTGAATCTGTAAAGGATGTTAAGCACCTTGGTAAGGAAGGCATTAATGTCTCCCACTCCAGTGGATGGAAGTTCAGCTAGGGACAACACTTAAGAGAAAATTTCACAGGGGATTGCTAAAAATATGAATTACGTAGAGCAAGAACATTTTGAATGAGGCAATAATTCATGTAGAAAGTACAAATTTTCCTTTGCAGCCTCAAAAGTAGTTCTCATGTGTTACTAATATTCACTGGCTAAGAGTAGACCCTAAGTTATACTTCATAGAGCACCTGATCTAATTTCTACGGTGCAATTTATCTTTCACTAACCATTTTTGATTAAATCTTATAGAATCAAAGACTGGCACATTTGCAAAGTCTGTCACTGCTTTCAGTTCCAAAGACAGGAGACTACTCAGTCTTTGCCTTCCTTGTGTGCTCTTTGCCACTTGATAGCATACTGATTCTTTAATTTATAACTTTGCAGGGGGTTGATAACTCTGTAATGATCTGTTCATTGCTTCCCCTGGAGTTTAGAGCCTCCTTGATGAAATCTTTGGTTTTCAAGTTCTTTGGTGGTGTCTAACAATGGCTGTTTAATTAAGAAAAGGAAAATAAGAATGCCACATCCACCTAGAGGGTATGATGCAGGGGTGTGTGTGTGTGTGTGTGTGTGTGTGTGTGTGTGTGTGTGTGTTTATTCAGACAGGATGAATTTTATCAACACCATCTGCTAGTATTTGTAAAAGAGAACTAAGTGCCTGTTGTTGAGATAAGCAATATCCT